AAGGTGGGTAGGACTCCCTCGGTTACCAATGGAGGTAAAGATAGAGCCATGGCTTCAATTGTTAACGGAAGCATCACAGGAGGGGGAATGACCAGGCATCTATGTTGAATATCAAGGGGCAGGCTGGAGAGGTCAGGTACAATCTGTTTCTTTTGTCCCTAATCGACATTGATGGTCCTTCAATACTAAGGACCGAGAAGGGAGGTGGCGGATCATTTATTAGGGGATGCCGGCTATGTATAGCGGTGTGTCCATGCAGTAAGAGGATTGTAGTCCTCATCCCTGGTGTTGTCTAGTTTAAACTTAGGGGTCTTGTAGAAAGTCCTTTCGCCAAACGACATCCCAGCTAGGAATGAGGAGGTAGACAAGCCAGTCCTATAGGTAGGGGCCTGGCGGAGGAAACCAGGTATTTTGCTTTGGATGACCCTAGCGCCAGGAGAAGTAGTGGACTATGAGCTGGCCTCAACTATAGTCGCAGCTGAGTTGTCTTTTGCCAGAGGGACAGAGTTCTCAGGTATAGGTTTAATGTATTTCTTAAATCTTTTTCTCATTTAAAGTATTAGTTGGGAAGGAGGTTGGGAGTGAGGAGGAGAATTTTGGCATTGTGGAAAAGGGTTGGGAGTATTAGGAGATTAGGAGCATGTGAAACCTATCTCTTAGTGCAGGCAACCTACCTTCTAACTGTTCATTACGGACTTGAGTTTGTAACAAACCACAAGTCTTATGTGAAGGAGATTCAGGTCCATATTAACAATTGCCTCCATTCAGTGTTTCGAACCCCTATGAAGCTGGCAAACAACATACTATTGGCTGAGTCCAGGATACTACCTGTCACTATTCAATGCCAGTACCTGTAGTGGAGATGCTTTAGCGGGTTCATCAATTACCAGTATTGCGACCAACACTCCTGGTTCAGTAAAATAAGCCTGGATTGGAAGAAGGAGGGTATGGTAACACATCGGCAGACCTCAGATCAGCAACCTACCAGCCACCTTACTGTCTTGATTAAGAAAGGCAAGGTGTTAATAGCTGTCCACAACTGTTCATTGTACATAAACCTCTGTATGCCCTCGAATGAGTCTATATAGACAGACAGGTCTAAATCCTCTGAAGAAGCTGATATAGCATGGGTGGTATTTGAGAAAGGTGCCATGACCCATGTTGATAGGTACTTAGTTCCCCCATCAAGGAGCATTGTAGAATGCAAGCTGTTTGCAGTTGTCTGTGCCAAGTGACATGTCCTGGATATGGCCAAGAGGCATCCGGTTCATGTATTTAGTACTGTATTCAGGCCCTCATCCTGGTTGACAACATGTTCTTGGAAGGTGATTAGACCAAGTTGTAGGAGGTTATGGCACTACTGTTTAGCACCTTCTCTCATATCAGTCTTGGCTGGGTCCCTGGACATATGGGCATCACCAGCAATGAGATAGTTGACCTGTGGGTTAAGGCATGTATTGGACGTTCTTTGCAACCTCTACTTTGAAAAGGGATCAGCTTCGGGATCAAACACAGGACGCTTGCTAGAGAGTTACGAAAGGAGGAATGGGAGTCCTGGCATGACAGGAAAAGACATAGATACTATGCTCGTAAACCTAAGGCGCCCCGATACCTCCATAGCCTTATCCACATAGATGTCTATATTCTGTTAACAATCTGCAGTGGGATGGGCTTGGTCGGCTATGGCAGCTATAATGAGATGGAATATAGACACCACTAGAGTGAGTATTCTGATATACTAGAGGATGCTCTACTAACTCAAAATTGTACAAGGATTCGTCAGTCTCATAGTAGAAATCCTGGTAGGTATACGATAGGTGGTAGAGTCCGGAAATTCCTCATCATCTTAAGGGGAAGGATGGGAAGTTGGTTGTAGTAGGTAACCCCTTTGATAACACACTGATGGTGGAAAGAAATAGCAGGATAGTGGTGGTAGAAGACCCGACAACTTGCACTCAGTGTGAGAGGAAATACAACGGAAGTGAATGTGTTCTGCTGGGTACTATGACCATGCCAAAGAAGTGTTTTTTCTTGTCCAACCAACGGCGATGTGACTGTCTTAGCCATAGTACGGCCATTTCCACTACGGCTACCCAGAAGTCAGTCACCTTTTCAGAACACTTTGAAAGATGGCCTCAGTACCTCCAGACGTATCACAACCTGGTTCAGTATTTTCATCACCGGCATGGGATAAGTGGAGTCTTGCAATGTGAATGTTGGTAGTCTTGAGGTGGGCTAAGATAAAGAAGTTGTTAAAGTTGCTCCACAGTCCTTTTTGTAGTTTGGTTTTGTTAGGAGGATATCTTGATCTTGTGCTACTTTACAAGAGAAAGGTAGGATATTGGAATAGACTGTATGTTTCCTTTATTAAGTACGTGGGCCAGATTGTATTAGAGGTGGATAGTGTTAGGCAGAGACAACCTGATAGACTTCAGAGTTGTTTAGGCCAACCAAGATTTAATTCTGGAGACAGAAATTGTCTAGGAAGGCATCGATTGTACTCGTTTTGTTTATGACTACTGGGACCAAAGTAAAGTAGGTAAAGTAGAATTGTATAGACAATATTATATTGTTAAGGTCTCTTCTCCATTGCTTGATGATGTCTAAAAGCTTGAAAGGTACTTCAATATTTATATTCTACAGTGTTCGCAGACTACATCTCTCTATTATACAACTATGTACCTTTCTGATTATAACTCGCAACATTAGGCCTTCTTCCAAGATGCGAACATTTGGAGACTCTGAAAATCACCACACCCTCTTCGGTAATTACAATATAACTAACTAGGAACCATGCTGTTCCCAATAGCAATTATCTGATCATCAGAGTCTTTAGACTTATGGCCTAGTTCTTAAGTTGATCTGAGTTGGCTACAATTGTCTCCATCCTTGATGAAATAATTAGTTTCATCTACAGGTTGTATCTGTAAAGGTAGTCGTAATCGCAACCTTCCTAGGTCACCTGACTTCAAACTTTCACATCTCTTTACCCAGCCGATAGATATCTTATGGAAGACTTTCTACTAATTTGCAGGAAGCTATTCCATCAGATTGATAGATAATCCCTCAGTCAGCAAACCTTGGTTGCTCCAGGTGATTCTGTAAAGTCATGTATGTAACCTTCTTACGTTACTGACTTTGAAGTTCAATATCTCCTGATTTTACTGATAGATTCTTATCCAGTAACTTCCCTTGTGTAGAGGAGAAGGACTTCTATAGAATAGAATCATAATTCTTCAGTCAGAGGTCCTCAGATGTTTTGCAGTAAGCCTTGCAGTTGCAAGTGGCATTGGTAGAAAGTCACTTAACACCAGAAATAACTTTGACGACAACAGGAGTTGAACACGTGACCTCTAGTGAGGACTCATATAATATTCCAATTGAGCTATGAACATGTGGACACTAAAAAGGGGCTGGAGCAGGATGTTGGAAACCAGAGATTCCCATTGAGAGTAGAGTTACCCTACTTAGGATGGTTCCTTAGTATTGGATCCTGCTATTCCTAATGTGATAACTTTGTTACAAATACAGGACCCTCTATTACTGACCTACGTCATGAGCGAAAATCACCTCAGGCTGGTAGACTCCCCTCACTCTATCCAACCACAGAAGGTTATTTAGACACTAGGCTAGTTTAGTGGAGATAAACTTTATGTGCTTTATCTTACAATGTAACATTTGTTGTTGGTTTTGCAGGGATGTAACTGGCTTGCTGAAAGATACTCAATAAGGTCTGTTGTAAAAAAGGAACCTATACTAGTTTTTTTTATAGTCTTGGACTGGGAGATCTAAGTTTTTCTATTTTCTACCAGCCTTCCTCAAGAGGGATCTGTATCTCACGGTCAGCCTGTAATGGGTAGGTAGAGACTGCTCTACTACTTCTTCTATCAGGTAAGGTGCACTAATCAGAATCTGTTTAGATAGCCTAGTAGTGTCTATTCTACAAATCATGTTAATAACCTTTGTGGGATTTTGCAGGAGTAACTAGCTTAGTATAAAAAAATATGTAGGCTTAGTACATGTGTTTTCCGGAGATGCATTACTTGGTAAAGAATATTCTTTATAATATTATGGCATCTTTGTATTATATAGAAATACAATATGACTTTACTTGGGGTTTGCAGAAATATCCTATCTCTCTTAACAAAAATATGCCTAGGCTTGGTGTAAAAAAAACAACACAACACGTTTACAATATTATTATGGCAGCATTGTGTAAAAATACAATACGGCTTGGCTTGGATTTTGGTATATAGCTTAGCAATAATATGTCCAAGCTTAGTATAAAAATAATAATACAAGCTTTATGGGTTTTACAGTGCCTAACTTGGTGAAAAATATACTTCTTTTTAGATTATATGAGCTTTGTGAAAATGATTACCAGTATTGGAGTTTGTGGGATCTTGCTGGTATCTGAGTCTGGAGCATCATCGGGTATGTTGGCTTCTGGTATTTTAAGTTGGCATGGTGTGTAAAAAGCTGCCCTTTGTGGGGTTTGTGAGGTTCTTCTACTTGGTGAAAAGATATCCTCCCAGGGCATACAGAACGTCTGGTCATGGCGCCGGACCTGGCTCCAACAGTCTGTTTACGGCTTCAAGATGCTGCTTTGGAGCTGTCCGGAGCATCTTCTTAGATCATACGAGTGATTTATGATGAAGTCTGACTCCCTTAGGCAGGAGCTTACCGAGCATAGGTCACACCCACCGACCACACAATACAAGTAGATAATTAAATTTTGTAAAGATTTGGCTTGACACAAATGTCACATGGGGCATAGAAATATCAAAGGAATGAAGGTAAAAATCCTGAAAAGTGATTTGGGTACATGAGTCGGTGAAGCTCAGGAGAGCAGGTCGAGAGTCTCTTGTCAAGCCATTGTAGTACGGTACGAGTAGTTATTTCCACCTGCAGTTCCTCCAGCCCCCCCTGACTACCGCATTTCCCCAACCGACCCGGTCGTCTGTCACCCAACCCACCACAACCCGTCCGCCACCCAACATAGTAAATCATCCCTTCCAACGACCCTTCACAAAAACTCCCCTGCTTCCTTTCGTGATGTTTGTGTGCTTGGCTTGAAGTAACAAACAGGCGGATCATACCAAGGCAATACCAATCGAATACAGTAAGTGACTCCCGCTACAGCCCTAAATTCCACGCTACGACGGACCAGCCAACTCTCGCTCGCTCCTTCCTTCCCGTCCTCAAAAAGTGTTTCCCCTCCCGGGTTACCCCTCCCGAGCCACTCGCCCTCGACAGAGAAGGGAAGAAAGAGAGAAGGATGGATTTCGATGTCGCCTACAGCCTTGAGAATGCACAGCAATTCTGGGATGGTAAAAGCGTTCCCCATCTCTCCCATATTTCTTGATCGCGTGATCTCCCGCTGACCTGAGCAGAGCTCGACGATATCGTCAGTGTGCATTGCGAAACCCAGAACCTCATTGATCAGGCTCTGAAGTCCTATCTAGCATTCACTTCTTCATTCACAGGTACCGTGCCCCTCCACGAACACCACCTCCCCCTGCGACAGCTTCCTTCTCCCCCCCTCGTTCGTTTCTCCGGCAACTCCCGAGATTGGGGTTTTTTCTCGTTTTTTGACTGGGAGCATGGGTTTTCACACGTGGAGTTTACAGACGAGTACTTGGTTTCCGAGTACGATTGGGCGAAGTGCACCTACAAGCTTTTGGATTCTCCATTGTTTACAAAACATCGAAATTACGTCCGCCGGCGGATGATCGGACGGCTGAGAAAGGTTCGGCTCGAGGCTCCGTTCAGCTTTGGGGACATTGTAGGGCTGACGGTGGCGTACAGGAGATTTTGACCCCACGATTGCACTTGGTTGCGCTCATTCTGTTGTATGATGGCCGGGGGGCCCAGAAGACGTTTGAGATGATGTTGGAAGAGGGCCTTTTTGTTAGGTTGATGGATCTGGTTCAGAAGACGAGGGATGAGGATAGGATGCTCTGGCGTTCACTTATAGAATTGCTTTACGAGATGTCCCGGATACAGCGCTTGAGACGCGAAGACTTGGGTAGGATTTTCTTGCAGTTAGGAGCTTCGAAGACTGACTCCGCGATAGAAGCCATTGATGACGGATTCATATCGTATCTTTTTGGATTGGTTGAGGAGGATCCTGAGGATCCCAATGACCCATATCATTACCCGGTAATTAGAATTTTGGTATATATCTCTAGGATATGGGGTTAAAATTGCGCTCGGACTAACCCTTCACTAGCTTGTATTGAACGAACAGTACATGGTTTCAGCCCATGCCCCTCCTTCAAACCCTGCGGACCCGCCAGGCGCTCCAACGAATAAAGTTATAAAAATTCTCTGTTTTCATGGTTCTACATACAAGACTTTTGGGGAGAATATTATCCTTCTTCTTAACCGTGAAAGTGAGTGGTGTAGCTTGGTGGGAGTGACAATTTGACAAAGGCTGATGATCCGGGGCCACCACAGGCGAAACTTGCTTACAGCTGTTGATATTAAAACTTCTATACCTCCTCTTCACCACGAGTGCAACAAATGAATACTTTTACACAAACGACCTGCGGGTCCTGGTGGATGTAATGATCCGCAACCTCTTAGACCTTCCGGACGAGTCTGAGCCCGTAACAATCCCCTACCACTGGAACCCACTCTCAAGGAAAATATACTGATATGGCAGAAAACCAGCTCCGACACACTTACCTCCGCGTCCTATACCCACTCCTAGAACATACCCAACTCCGCCACCCACCGCACTACAAGCGCGATGAAGTCCTCAAACTCCTGGAATGCTTGAGCGGCGTGCGAAGCAATCACTTCCAACCGGTTGACCAAACAACCATCCGCCTCGTCTCCCGCTGCGCGAATGTCCCGTGGCTTAGATCGGCGCCCGCTGAGAATGTGCAGCCGGAGAACCCAGCACACAGAGCCCTGGGAATGAGTCTGACAAATCACGGTCAGAGCTCTGTCACTTTGCTGGAGGTGGCTTCCAAGTCGGAGAAGCCGGGGGTTATCACTCCGTCCAGGAAATTGGGCACTGGAGGAGCTAATATAGATGGCAGTAGCGGCGGAAATGGGGTGGAGATTGCTGGGGAAGCATGACAGGGTGGGGTAATGATGGATATGATGGTTTATGGTAGGGTTGGTGTATGGGAGTAATTGCATTCCCTCCCACCCTTTTTTATTACCTCTCTCTACCTTTACTTCCCCCGCTCATCCTCTCGATGTGCATTGTGCTACGGATCAATCTCGTTTTGGTGTTTTATCAAATTTCATTTTTGCCTTCTGTCCTTTCATTAAAAAGTCACTGAAGGAGTTTTTTGCTTTATTCCTTTATCCTGATGTGAGGACATTTGCATCCTGGCTAGGCCTTGTAAAATAGAACAGCAGCTGGATAATTTTTGTGTATAGGATCGTCTTTGTTTCTCTTTTCTATCTCTTTCTTCCCTTGGCATTTTCGTCGGAGGGGTATTGTTATGACTGGATGGAGGGAGTATGATGGCGTAATGTACAGTATTATACAGTATTTTAGCTGCCGCCGTAGGATATATTCACAATTCACCATATACTCGTCATTATGTACTGGAACATCCTATCTCAAAAATTCGATCTTATCGTCTACGGATCTAATCCCCTCTACGGATCTTATCTCAAACTTCACGCGACTTGGCAACTAATGCATAACCACAGCAATGCGCCTTGGTTGCTTGGCCAATCCCCCCCCGCCCAGTAACAGTCAGACATCCCTGGAGGACTGGGCGGTATACAAGCAAGCAAGAAAGAAAATGAAAAAGGCGGCGAAGCCGCAACCCGCCAGAGCGCGTTCACACCACATACAAGGAGGATCCCGAGGTCACGGGGGGAGGACAGCTTGTAAAATGTAACTAAGCATAATAATATAACAGGAGCACAGAAATCGGTCCGCGAGGAGCGAGGGGATGCTAGTATACTATATACTGTGGATCTTTACGTAGAGCCATGTTATGCTCTTGACAGGGAGAGTAGCTGGTGGAGTATTATACTTGGGTATGGTTGACATTAATTGGAACCAGTTTACGAACGCTCCCCCAAGGGGTGGGGGGGGAAGAAAAGGAAGGAGAAAGTTTTTGCCAAAGATATCTAACCCCCCAGGAAGAAAGAAAGAAAAGTAGAAAACTTCACAATATCATGATATCAAACCTCCACGAAACGCCCCCCCCTTCAAGCCACACCTCCACCACCCCCTCCCGCGACCGCAGAACCCGGCGCCCACGCCTCACCAATCCTGGCAACCTCCTCGACAAACCTCCGACTAGTAACCAACCCACCAGCACCCAACTCAAAAAAGGGATTACAAACAAGCTTAATATACGCCGTCTGCAACGCCCGAAAAACCTAACTCGATCGGCAAATTATTAACCCTCCCTCCCTCAATTAGAGCAGCAGCGCAAAAAAACTCACCCCTTTCAATTCCCCATCTTTAACGCCCAACCCACCGCCGGATCCAACGTCCACGACGACCACAATCTTAACACCTGTGTTGGTCAGCCAGCCGTACGCGGCCAGTTCCTCGTCTATGCTGTATAGCAGGCCGAAGTCGCTGTCGCCGTTCGACTTGAGCGGGAGGCGGGACTGGAAGACGTCCAGTGTTGCGTGGGTTAGGAAGTGGTATTTTAACGTCGATGGCGAGGTAGTGGTGGTGGTGGTGGTGGAGGTGGGGTGGGGGAAGGTGTGGAGGTGGAGGGGTGAGTTCTGTTTTTTTTTTTTTTACCTCGTTAGTTGGTTGGTTGGTTGGAATAGTGGGGAGGAGGAGGGAAGCGTTACATTTCGGCCGATTAGGGCGATGCAGGCTATTCTTGGTGTTGACATTTTTTTCTTTTCTTTGTTGTTAATGGTAGTAATGGTGGTGGTGCTTGGATGGTGGATGGTTGTGGTTGTTTAAGTTTGCTGGGCGGTTGTGTTGCTACGAGTATTGTGTTAACCTATATTATAGCTACAGTCATGATCAATAAGTCTGTACACCAACCCCACTCCAGCCCACTCAATTTAACATGCAACGCATTTTTACACCACTCCCTCCTGACCCCCATACTTTTTCTTTTTCTTCACAACACCATCAAAAAATGCCTTCTTCACAAGTTTTTGGTACAGTTATAAGCAGAGATCGGCAAACTCCCCAGAAACGGCGGAAAGAATTGAATTCTCACGACAGGGCTCGTATTTTCGAGGCAATAAGTTTGGGTTCGAGTCCATCCGCTGTCGCGTTGGAATTTCGGTGTACTTGGCAGACAATCTACCGGACTGTGAAACGGGCGCAGGAACTTAACCACTTTGGTTCTAGGCCTTGGAAGGGTCGTCCCAAGAAGCTGAATCGTCAAATTATTCGCTCTTTACTTCGTCTTGTCAGAAGTTTCCCGAATATATACTTTCGCGACCTCATTGACGAGAGTGGTGCTAATGTATGCAACAACGCCATCCGTCGTGCTCTTGGGCCCAATTTACGCCGCAAATAGAGACGGTGTAAAAGAATTTGACTGCAGGCGAAAGATGTGAAGGAAAGGCTACTTATTGCACGTAACTATCGTGAAAAAGACCAAGAATTGTTGAAGGTGCGGACAAGTGTCAGTTCCTTCTTAGATGATCCTCGCTAAGGTTTTTTCTAGGGCATCTACAGTGACGAATCTTCCGTGCAAAACTCCCCCAATTCTCCCGATGGATGGGTTTTTCGACTTCCAAGGGATAAATGGAAGCAATGGGCTGTCAACGAGAGTGAACATGTTAAGTCTTCACTCTCGTTTATGGTTTGGGGGGCCATCTGGAAGGGGGGGCGGTCAGAATTGCAGGTCATGCAACGTGATGAGGACTCTGCGAAGAATGGATATAGCGCGCACTCCTATATTCAGGTCTTGGAGGATGGTTTATTGCCTCATTATGCTCCTGGGAAATTCTTTTTGCAAGATAACGCGAAAATTCACACTGCAAAGATCACTAAGGAGTGGTTTGAATCGCATGGCATCTGGGTACCCGAAAACCCTCCACATAGTCCGGATTTAAACCCGATTGAGCATGTCTGGAAAGCCATGAAGAGTATTCTTTGAAAGAATCATGGATACTTGAAAGACCTCAAAGATAACGCACCAAGTAGAGTGATTTTCATCACGGCACTGAAGGCGGCATGGTGGGCAGTCCCTGAAGAGTTGATCAACCACTTGATCAATTCAATGCCCAGGCGCTACAACGCAGTGCGAAAAAATCGGGGATGGTACACCAAGTATTAAACACCATGGAAATGGCTCTCTATCTGTATTTTCATTGTATTTTTAGGTTCAGTTTTGGTTGTATAATTGATTGATTTACATTGCGGTTGAAATATGTGGTGAAGGTGTGTGGGGGGGTGTGTGTACAGACTTATTGACTATAACTTTATCATATCTTGTCTTGTTACGGAAAAGATTTTATCCGGTAAATAACGAGTATACAGGGTCCCCCCCCCTACTCGTAGCGAGGCGCGGCATTGTCTGTCAACTAAATACCACTACAAGTATAAACCACAACCAAACGATTTCGAGCCCCTAGCATCACGTTAAGGACCTTACCAGGTGGGGACCGGATCACTCGAGCAGTCCCTGGCCCCTCAAACCCAATCACAAATTATCACACGGTGTGGTCGTGGCAGATACGGGATACGATTCACATTACATTTCTTCGCAATGGGTAAGAAAGAAAGAAAAGAGATGAGAGTAATAGAGCACTGGGTATTTTTCCAGCTATCTAGAAGCTATCAGAAGCTATCGTTTATATACATTCCCGGGGCTAATAGCCCAACCCCCTGCGCCTACCTTCTCCCCTTTCTAGACCTCTTCCGACTCGTCCCCGTCGTCGCCATCATCATCGACATCATCGCTACTCTCCCCCATGTCTATCTCCGGAATGATCATCTCATCGTCCGAATCTACCGCTTCGAGGCGGGCCCCTTCGCGGATGGCTTCAGCGTGCTGAGTTGTGGTAGTGGTGGTGGCGATGGTGATTGTAGCTGGTGAGGGTAGTGGTGCAGCGGCGGCGGCAGTGTGAGTAAGAGTAGACTGGGAGTGGGTTTCGGGGACTGTTTGTTGGGAGGTTTTGAAAAAAGTGTAATCTAGGGCGGTGTGTGCTGTAGAGACTACTTGGCTGGGCTGAGATTCCTGAACGGGTGTAGGGACAGAATCAGGTTCCAGCTTTGGGGGAGAAAGAAGAGAAGGTGTTGGCGTATGCGACTTCCGGCGCTTTGGAGAGGGGGCGGTATCTTCGCCATGGGATGCACTGCGCTTTGCCCCTAGTTTCTCAGTTATGGTGTTTGATTGAATTGTATTTGTTTTATGATTCACAACCACTTCTTCCTCGTCTTCTTCTTCCTCATCTTCCTCCTGCTCCTCTTCGGCCTCACCAGGGCGCCCTCTGCCAACCCAAAGAACAGGCAATCTAGGCCTAGCAATCCCTTCAACAGACAAATTCCCTCTACTCGCGCCGACGAGATGGGGGAGTATACTCCCGCCCTTCTGATCACCGTTCGGAGTAGTGGTGGGAAACAAAACGCTAGCCATCATTGCCTTCTCATTCACGGTAAATACTGCTGCGCGCTCCAGCAGCCTTCTCGTCTGAGGGCGGACATAAGCTGGCTGCAACTTCCCCAGTACAGCTACTAGAAGTTCCTCCGCGGCGGAGACCAATCCCCGAAGCCACGTTGGCCGGGAGTCGAGCCGCGACGACGGCGGGAGAAGCGAGTCTGCGTGGACTTCCTTCTGTTTTCCGGTGTTTCTGTTGCTGCGTTTCCCGGCGGGTTTGGCAGGGAGAGAATTTTTGGGTTCCTCGGCATTGAGGACGAGGTCAGCGTAGAGTGAGGACAGTATTGGGTGGATTGAGGATACAGTTTGTTTGTCGAGTGCTGGGCCGAAGAGGTTTAGGAGTGCGGTGAGGAGGGTGTAGACTGCCGTTCGGATTCCCGTATCAGGCCGGTGTTCGGAGTATATAACAACTAGTTGTTCTATAACTAGATTTGCTAATGGTGCGAATATTCTCCCTAACCGCTCTATTGCAGAGGACAGTAGGTTTAATGCGCAGCACTTTAAGCTCGGCAGTCTAACCATAACCGTTTCTCGCTCAGGCCGCTCGATCCCGGTATTGCTCTCAGCTGCCTCGCAGGTTATTCTGGCCAACCTACCAGTAAGTTCGACAAACTGTCCGAGCGGGATGACAACCTGCGAGCTCGTTGGATGACAGAGGAATCGTGGCAACAACCTGAGTAACATCTCCGCTCTGTCAAATCCCTTTGAGATTCCCTTCCACTCACTCAACCCGATATTTGACACACCGGAAACCTCTGTACTGTTATCCCGGCGTGATATACCGGTGCGATGCCCTTCATCCGTGCATCTAAGAATCACATTAAACAGCTCATTAATCTCAGAAATCACTGACTTGACAGCACGAGTCCACCCTTCTGCGACCGCTGTAGCCTTGTTACCCGATAAACTTCCGCCGCCTTGGTTGGCTATAATCCCACCAGTGGCACCGCGAGGGGCAGTATCGGAAAGATGCAATGAGACAAACAAATCCCCCGCCAATCGTCCAAGCTTGCTAAGCCCGCACTGTGGCGATAGCACCGAAAGCACAATCTCTCGCGTGCGCTGTGTAAACGGACGGAACGTAACCGGATTGTGACATAGAAGGTCCTTAAGCGCTTCCAACGCCGTGGCGAGTGTGTCCTCCGAAAGCATCGCATCAGAGGCTGATGAGTTCACCGGCTTAAGTATATTCAGTATATGTCCAATTGTGGCCGGGAGATTTGGCGACACAATCTGGCGGATTAGGGCTGGTTTGTCAACAGTCAGTACAGTGAATACTCGGGTTAGTGTAGCAATTGCGTAGTTGGTTGTTGAGGGCGGTTCGGGTTTCTACAATTCCAGTTAGCCATCAATCTTTGAGTAGAGGGAAAGAGTAAAGAGGGCACAAACAGTTAATGCTGGGACCATCAACCTAACCCAAACCTCACCATTCGAGGCTAAACATTCAAAGCTGCTCTCCATTGCCGCCTTTGCCAACGCCATGCCGGTCCACTTGTCCGTTGGTGATTTGCTCTGGAGGAGGGAGGAGACCCTCGTCTTGAACCTGTGCAAGAGAGCAGACGCCTCTGACTTGCCACCGGTATATTTCGGAGACGTCGACAGAGAAGCGCAGGTTTCGAGTACCGGAGTCATGTATAATTGCGAGATCATGAAAGGGATGGTGGATGGTGAGGTATGCTCTGAAATGACATTGTTTATCATGCGCAGGGTAATCACAGCATGGGCGCTGTTATCCCCGGAGGGGGGAGGCATGGTTTCTTTTGTTAATTGTGTCCCTTGTTTTCTATGGAGTGTTGGCGGGGTGCTGAATGAAGGTTGTCCGTGTTGGAGGTTTTATGGTTGGTTTTCTTGGGAGGAAATAGAGCTAAATTTTAAGCCCCAACCCTGACCCACACCATTACACTATCATATGATAAAGTTACATTTGGTAAAGAGATACATTCCCGAATTCTAACAAAAAATAATTACCGTCTTTATATCCATAATACCCAGGCTACAGCTAACAAGAGTATCATATTACAAACAAAATTCAAATACAGACTTTCATCCGAAAAACCTGTAGACGAAGATCATAAGAGTATGTCTATTTACACTGAAAATAACCTCTTTCTTTTGTTTATTGACTTTGCTCTTTTTTTAAGCCGAGATCAGCTACTCTCCCATTTACGAACCAAGGACTCTACCAGGACCAGCAGCAGCAAAACCGGAACCACTTTCCATCGGAATAGAAGTTGTTGCGCGCGACGTTGACTGGGTTCTTGAGCTGATTGATGTTGGGAGCAATTCCATGTGGTTCATCTCGGTCCTGTTCTCGAGGGAAATATAGAATGGTACACGCCGGGTAATAAAGTTTAGCTTAGATTCGACCTTGCCCAGTATATTCTCAGAAGGCTCGAGGAGACGTAGGTAATGACAGGCATCTAGTGGTGCTGTGAGCGCGCGCGTTCAATGGAGAAGATGCAGGTAACGAACATAGATAGCCGATTATCAAACCGCAGAAGTGCCCAAGAATACTAGCCCCAGGAACCAAAATCGAAACAACCACCAACCAGAATATCGGAGCCATCCACGAAGGTATACCATAACCAGCAATACTGCAACAATCCTCATTAGTAACGCACCTCTGCGATTAGCTAGAACGGTGAAGTACCTATAAGTCGGCTTCTCCAAAAACGTCTTTACTGCTTCGTTGGCCATAAGGGTGAATACCAATGCACTGTCCCACAAAACCCAATTAATCAATACCCCACACAACTTCCTATTCCAAGTATCATACTGGGATGGTGAAAACCTACCTCGCCCCAGCAACCGAGTCATAAGCACCAAGCAAGAGAATCTCAATGCCAACATACAATCCGCCAGGAAACGTCACAAGAGCTACCCCAACCATGCCCTATCAGTACCCCCTCACCCCACCACTCGCCCCTCCTCTCCACCGGAATTGAACGAAACCTACGACCAAGCACCAACAACAATGTCTTCAAAGTCCCCACCTCCCTCTCGAACCTCTCGAGCAACGGGGTCAATGCAAGAATGTTCAAAAGCGCGTGCAAAAGCCCCACATGCACAAGCGGGTAAGTATTCAATCGATGCACTATCACACCTCTCACCTCTCACAATTAACACCCACATCCCTTTAATGACAAACAGAGAGATATAAGGCGGGAAAGTCTGACTCTGCCCCAAATCCATCTTCCCAACATCCAGGGCGAACCAATCCAGCATCGCAAAGCCGCATACACCCAACATGTGTATTACTGCAATGAGCAGTATCACGGTGCGCGTTAGGATTGGCAGGCAGAGGAGGTGTGTTTCTAGGCGTTTCCACACTGTATGAACCGAGTCGGGGAGGGCTTGGATTGGGGTTTGTGGTGGCATTCTCTGTATTGTTTTCCGGTAGGCTATAGGGGGTGGTCGTTATCGTGTCCAGTGTTTGGGAAAAAAGGGAACGAACGGCTGATTACTTTTGCGTGGTGCTAAGAATCTGTAGCGATGGTTGCCTGCGGCCCTGATACCGCTACAGCACCAGAGAGTGAGATCAGAGAGTGAGAGAAGGAGAGAATTTGGCTGAGAGAGTGGGGAAAGGAGGTCAACTGAGATGCCTGAAGACACTGCAAGTCAGACGCACACCAATTGGAACCTTGCAGTCTTTTCCAGGATTCACATGGGTCCCCGTCCAATCTGACCCAATTTCTGTTAGCTAAGCTACCGGCATGCTAAGCTACCGGTATCATACTGGTACTTGTACTCGAGTACCTTCTTCTTTTTCCTTTAGCCGTATCAGTTCTCTTATGGGTCCGCATTATGGTACCCAAAACTGGTACAATTACAGATCCATGCAGGGCTCGAATTACGCACCAAGAGATGTTGAAAGGTGAAATCCAAGAAATCCAAGAGGAAAATTTTTCTCTAAACCCAAACCCAGATCACGTGACCTATTTTAACCCCGGGTGTCGCCACTAGCACAGGAAAACTTCGGAACTCTACAATCACGAGTGATATCCCGTGCATACCACTTGTAGTGGACACAAAAAAAAAAGGACTTTCAACCATGATACGTCGCATGATGGAATCAAGATCTCGGTTGCGCATTTGTGTTCCTCGAGGCTCAGAGAATTGCCAATGAAACAGTAAGAGTCTAGAGTCAGACCGTGCCGGATCCTTAAATTAGGGAGAGAATACCTAACCCTGACCAAATCGCCAAATTCCCCACCATTGCGAGCAACGGAGTGGTGCCTCACCAGTACGAGTACCACCGACCACCAACGACCATCACAGAGAAAACAGGAAAGGAAAAAGAAAAAGGCAGAAACAAAGATGGAACCAACCCCAGACTCTCTAACCCTCACAATCCTCGGCTGCGGGACGATGGGCGTGGCCATACTCTCCGGCATCCTCTCCAGCCTCTCCACCAGCCTCTCCACCAGCCTCTCTCGCCTCCCCCCCAGCGCTTCCGGGACCAGCACGCCCACCGGCGGCGCCCTCTTGCCAACGCGCTTCCACGACGCCAGCAGGACTCCCACGCGTCTCCCGTCAAAGTTCATTGCGTGCGTCAAGCGGCCCGAGTCCGCTTCCCGCGTGCGCCGCGCCTTCGAGGGCTTTGCCGGCGCGCCCGCCGTTGAGGTCTACACGGGCCGCAACGTGGAGGGCGTGCGGGGCGCGGACGTGGTCATTCTGGGCTGCAAGCCGCAGATGTATGCCGAGATACTGCGCGAGGAGGGCATGCGTGAGGCGCTGGAGGGGAAACTGCTCGTTAGTATTCTCGCTGGTGTCAAGATTGCCGCACTCAGGGTGGTGGTGCCCTATAGTACTAGGGTGGTTAGGGCTATGCCTAATACTGCTTCTATGGTATGATTGCTCTTTGGGTTTTTTTGGGGGGGGGCGGGATGTTGATGTGGATATAGATTCGCGAAAGCATGACCGTCATCTCGGCGGAGGATGATATTTCTCCGGAGGAGAAGGCACTAGTCTCCTGGATATTCTCGCAGGTTGGCCGCTCGTTGGTGCTCGGTGAGAAGCATATGAACGCTTGCACCGCCCTGTGCGGATCCGGTCCCGCTTTCTACGCTCTTATCGTTGAGGCCATGGCCGATGGTGGTGTCATGATGGGACTACCGAGGGCGGAGGCGCAGATGATGGCTGCACAGAGTAAGATATTTACAATTCCATCCCCTGTTCATTCGTTCACTCGCTCGTTCATTCGTTGATGTGATTGGGTGGGTGGGGTTATTGTAGCTATGCAGGGCGCCGGTAGAATGGTTTTGGCTGGCCATCATCCAGCAATCATTAGGGAGCAGGTGTCCACCCCAGCTGGCTGCACCACTCACGGTTTACTCATATTGGAGGATGGAAAGGTCCGCTCGACCATTGCAAGGACTATTCGGGAGGCTACCAATATGGCTGCAGGACTTGGTAAGAAGTAGGAGCTGTTGCTGGAAAACGGGTAGATAAAATAGCACAGACAGATACTAAATAACAACACTAGACTTCCATCCTTAGGGGCAGATGGCACAGTACCCAACAAAATAGATAATTTCACAAGGGAATCTCAAATGCGTAGCGTTGATATGACCGTAGAGAAAAGGAGATGTTCATTCACAAATACAAACAACCAGCGATGGAGAGGGGGAGAAAAGGGGAGGGAATTGCGCAGAAACCACAAACAAATGAAAAATAGAGCCGGCCAGTAATGCTACGAGGCAATCTAATGCCTCCATCTTCCCGTAGACATTCATAGCCCATTTCTGGTAACCGAACCCGACTCGTTCTTGCGGGTCTCGAATGTCATTTTAACGGGTAGGGAGAAAGAGCGTGTGAAAAAAGGAAACAAAAATTTGGCGGGGTTACTGTACATTTTTAAAATGCCATCTCAATTAGAGGGACAAGAACAAACCAAAAAATAAATTACTTATGCCTTTGTCTTCTTAGCCATGCTATTCAATGCAGATCCATCTTTAAACCATTCGATTTGACCTGTCGACTTGTTAGAAATAACTAGAGAATTAGATCAGGTAGAAGCAATTACCCTCATTGAAAGTATGGAGCAAGTTCGTCTCCCATGGCTTGCCATTCTTAGGAGCAAACTTGATTCTCATTGGCTTGCCAACAGCCAAGTCGGTGACGTGCACTGTGGAATTATAATTAGCTTCCCGCATATGTTACGCACTGGGGTGATACTCACAGTCAACCTTGTCATCAGGGTTGATCTTGTCATAATCCTCGGGATTCTCAAAAGTCAATGGGAGCATTCCCTGTTTCTTAAGGTTGGTCTCGTGGATTCGGGCGAAGGAGCGGGTGATGATGGCCAAGCCGCCCAAGTGCCTAGGCTCCAAGGCAGCATGTTCACGAGAAGACCCCTCTCCGTAGTTCCAATCACCAATAACGACCCATTTGATACCCTTAGACTTGTAGTATCTGGCGGTGGCGGGGACGGCATCGTATTCACCAGTGAGAGCGTTCTTAACCTTATTAGCCTCATTGTTCTCGGCATTGACAGCACCGATCAACATGTTGTTAGAGATGTTGTCAAGATGTCCACGGTATTTCAGCCACGGGCCAGCCATCGAGATGTGGTCAGTGGTGGTCTTGCCCTTGCACTTTATCAAGATAGGGATATCGTTGGCGTCCTTGCCATCCCATGGCTGGAAAGGGCTGAGGATCTGGAGGCGGTCGGAGTTTGGGGAAACCATGACACCAACAGTACTACGGTCAGTCGGAGGAGCCTGATAGGTGTCACGACCGGGGTCGTAACCCTTCGCGGGGAGGCCAGCACCAGTTGGTGGAGAAAGCCTAAAGTCTTTTCCGTCCTTGTCCTTGAGGGTATCAGTCAGGGGGTTAAAGCGAAGATCTCCAGCGATTGTGAATGCTGTAACAAGATCCGGCGATGTAACAAAAGCGTGGGTAGCAGGATTGGCATCGTTTCTTCCAGTGAAGTTACGGTTATAGGAAGAGATAATAGAATTAGCCTCTCCTTTCTTGACGTCCTTTCGATCCCACTGCCCGATGCAAGGTCCACAGGCATTGGCGAGAACAACACCGCCAAATTCCTCAAAAGTCTGAAGCTGGCCATCACGCTCGATAGTAGCACGAATCTGCTCGGAGCCGGGGGTAACAGTGAACAGAGATTTGGCCTTGACACCATGATCCAAAGCGTCGCGAGCAATTGAGGCCGAGCGAGACATGTCCTCGTAAGAAGAATTGGTGCATGACCCAATCAAGCCAACCTTCAACTCAGTGGGCCATTCGTTTTTCTCAACGGCAACCTTGAACTTGGAAATAGGGGTGGCCAAGTCAGGTGTAAATGGTCCATTAACGTGGGGTTCAAGCTCGCTCAAGTTAATCTCGATCAATTGATCATACTCTGCGCCCTGGTCCTCCTTAAGCTCTTTGGCATAGACACGGGCAAAGTCTCCGATATCCTTACGCTTGGTGGCGGCAAGGTAGTTGTACATGCTATCGTTAAATGGGAAAACAGAGGTAGTGGCGCCAATTTCGGCACCCATGTTGCAAATAGTGCCCATACCAGTTGAAGACAGCGAATCGACGCCAGGGCCGTGGTATTCAACAATGGCACCGGTACCACCCTTGACGGTGAGAATACCAGCAACCTTCAAGATAATATCTGCAGGAATTGTTAACGCAAGCCAATAATAATAGTGGTAATAATAATAATAATAAAACACACAACTGTAGAAATACCTTTAGGAGCAGTCCATCCACTAAGCTGTCCAGTGAGTTTAACGCCAATTATCTTAGGCGCCTTCAACTCCCAAGGAAGGTTGGCCATAACATCGACGGCATCGGCACCTCCAACACCGATGGCGCACATTCCCAAACCGCCAGCATTAGGTGTATGTGAATCGGTACCGATGAGAAGGCCACCAGGAAAAGCATAATTCTCCAGGAGGATCTGGTGAATGATGCCGGACCCAGGTCTCCAGAAGCCAATATTGTACTTGGCGCAAGATGAAGAAAGGAAGTCGTAAACCTTTGGTAACAAGTCAGCGCCAACTGAATTTATGGAAACAGAGGCACAAGTAACTACGCACCTCCTTGTTGATGGCTTCTGCCCTGGCAAGATCTTTAGCACCTCCAACCTGAGCTTCTATCAAATGATCGCAGTGCACGGTCGACGGAGTAGCAACAGAAGGCATTCCCGCACTCATGAACTGGAGAATTGCCATCTGCGCAGTCGCATCTTGGCAGGCCACACGGTCGGGTCGAAGCTTGAGGTAGGAATTGCCACGCTCGATATCCTGCCCATGCGGATCATCCAAGTGAGAGTAGAGAATCTTCTCGGCATATGTGAGGGGGCGATTAAGGCGACTACGGACGATAGCGAGGTTCTCGCTCATTTTCCTGCGGTTTGACGTAAATGTCTCTCAGCACAGAACCTTGGCGTGTGACGACATACCGCCTAACCCCCACAACCCCCAACATCCAACGACAATGTTCACAATGTCGAACAAAAACTGGAGATCGGGGAAATGTTCTCTATCGGCGGCAAGGGATGAGGAAGGGGGAAAAAAACGCACTTGTAATTAATGTAGTTTCCCTGAAAGCACAGGATAGTTAGCACCTGGCCCCTCCATACTGTGCATAGAACATTGCCGAAATTCCGAGTGAGAGTATCATGACGCTGTAACTAACCTTCTCCCAGTTTGTCATTTCAACCTTTCGGCTGAGCGGATCATCGCTCACAGTAGCGAGTCCGCGGTACTTCTGGCCCTGGATTTCAGGGAAGGTTTATTAGAACAAAGTCGGCCTGGTCCATAGGATCGAACCTGGATAAACGCTGGGATCCAGCAAACAAAAGACAGTTGAAACTTACAAGCCTGAGGCCTGCAGCCTGTAATTCAAGCCATTGTTAGCCTTATTTCCCCAGAAGCCATAACGGAGAATGGTGATGAGGTCGACTGCTAGGCTACCCGATCTCTTGCGGAGACGGTGAAAAGTAAAAAGCAAAAAAAGTAACTTACGAGCTTAGAGGCCCGGGGGAGGTGCCTAGATAGCATCATGAAAGCTCCTTCAAACAAAACAATTAAGTATGGGTATGAATGACTATTCGCTTCTATAATCAGAAGAAGAGAGGGCTGTGTGTCTCTTCTGAGAGAAAACAAATCTTATGAGAGGAGGAGAAGGAAAGGAGAAGATGGTGGGGGGAGAAGAGGTGGGGGAGGTGGTGAGAAGAGAGAGGAGAGAAGGAAACTAGGAAGGCTTGGGACGGCTATGCCAAGAGCCTGTGGAAACACTTCTAGGAGCGAACAGAGGAAGCTTGAGGTTTTACATCAATTTAGCGCTGCGATAAAGCATTATACTCGAGTACTCGTAATTGAGTAGTCTACAGTACTGGTATCAGTTCAGCCCCTCCTCCTCAATCCTTGGAAGCAACGGCCATTCCCTCCCCAAGGAGCCCCCCCCCACTAGGGGAAGAAAGTGAAAAATTTCAGGACCGAAAAAAATCCCATGCCCATCCTAAAAAGCCTCAGGTTGACCCCCTCCTTCCGGGATTGGTCACCCAATCAAACCGGTTGTATTTGTGAAGAATCAGATTAAAGTAATAATCGGGAAAAAAAGCCTCGAGAGGGACAGGATGAAAATCTTTCCATCTCCCCGACCCTCGGCCCGTGGCACAAGTTCAAACCAAAAAAGTTCCCTCACCCCCTTCTAAAATTCAATCTCATCATATCATACCGATAACTTGGTTGCCAAGACCCCACCAGAGCCTCAAGTGGAACCAAACCCGTCATAGGCGAGTTTCGCAAGGGAGCGAGAGGAAGAAAACAAAACAAAAGAAACAGTGAGAGAGTTGGCCCACTTCCGGGACAAGCCACTTACACACCGGTACCATCTAATTTTCCACGATAACAACAAGTCGGGTCGAGATAACCATGGGTGCTATTCGCCGTTCAAAGACGAAGCGTAGAACTCGGTATGGGAAGGAAACCCCCCCTCCCCCTTGCTGCTTTAGCGGTTACGGTAAAGTTGTTTGCGGTTGAGCAAATTACTGACTCTTGTTGGCTGGTAGTGATATGGACCAAGTTCATTCCGACCTCCGCGATCCGAAACAGCTTGCTCAACTTAAGGCTTTGGTCCCGGATGAGGATAAACCAGGCCTTGGGCAATTCCATTGCGTTGAATGTGCAAAGTACTTTGAGAGTGAATGGAATATGGTGCAGCACCGTCGTGGCAAGAACCATAAACGGAGGTATGATAATAAATATTTCAGAGCCTGTTTTTCCGCATCTTTTCCCACCATTTCTTGGGGCGATTGGATGGCCTGACTTTGTGTTGGGCGTAGGGTACGTTTATTGAAGGAGGAACCTTATTCTCAGAAGGAGGCCGATGCTGCGGCGGGCATTGGAACCGCAGCCTTTTACCAAGCTTCGGAGGATAGGAGGGAGCAGGAGAAGATGGACCAGCAGTTCGGTTCGATGGAGCCCGAATGATCATACCGGTACCTTTCTATAATAATATTATATGGTGGAGAGTTGGAGGGCTAGGGAAGGAGCCATCTATGCTCCTACCTTTCATTTTGTGACTGGGAACTTTCTTGCTGCGAGTTCTGTATTTCAGACTTGGGCGTTCAACTTTTTCAGCATAAACTGACGTTGGTGGAGATATCTCCTATAATATTAACTTATATTATCCTAGTTCATTAATCAATCGCCGGACAAATATCACCTTAACCCAACTTAACTCTTCACTCTGATATCATAGGTTATGCTGTTTGAGCCAGTAAAATTAGTCTATCTACCGATGCATCTCTACATCTGACAAGCGTGGAAATAAAATAATAATAATAAAAAAAGATACAGAAGACCTGGTATTTATACCGCTTTCCAAGCTAATAAAACAGAGCCAACGCACCCCGCTCTAGTACTCCCCGAAATCCATATGCCCTGTGCTTTTCGCATGCGCCACAGCGGCCTTTTGACCCTTGAGACCGGTTTTGCAGATGTTGCATTTGAGGGAAAAGCTTTTGGTATCAGTGAAATACTTTCTCTTCTTGAGTTCTCTGCAAAGCTCCAAGGCCCCTTCTAGCTCCTCATCATCGCTGGAACTGAAGATCCGCTTGTCCTTGGAGGGATCATTTGTTCGGGATCCGGCGGGTGATAGGACGATTGTGTCGTAATGGATACCGGAATAAACCACGACAGCTCTGTTCGCTTTTCCCTCGTTGAATCGGATGACTTCGTTTGTAGAGACATCGATGGTGCATATCTATATACTGTCAGAGGGGAACGGGATTCAGTACATTGGTGAAAACTGACCTCTAGATCGAAGAAATTTGCGAAAATTCCTAGCTCGATTCCGCCGCCCCAAGAACTCTCCATCTGGATCCACTCACAGTAACCGTCTGGCTTTTGCTCCAAAACTGCTTCGCTGTAGATGTCTGGGTTTTCCTGGATTGTGGTTGCGATAAGCTGGCGCAGCTCGGCGGCCGAGTAAAGGGAGCCCGTGGCGACGTAACTTATGGCCTAATTACCGGGTCTGTTAGAATTTTTGAGCTCGAATAAATGATCTAGGGGTACAAACCGAGAAAAGGCAACTGTTGTCATCTTCCATCACGCGTAGAACCATCGTTCCACGTCCACTCTTTAGGGGAACATCGGGAGGATCGTCTTTGTTGATCTTGGGTTTCAGGGACCGATTTAAGGTCAAGGGCGCGTCGGGCTGCGAAGTGGAATCTTGTGCGCCTCCGGAGAAGGAAAACGGAGCGCTCGATTTTGCTACAGACTTCCCTTTCTCGCTGTAAACAGTGGCAGAAGGGGGCTCGCTTCTGCTAGCGGTGGAAGTGTTGGCGATGGACCCGGTCCCTCGAATTACACCGCCGCCACCACCACCACCTCCCCCACTCTCGGATATGATTAATTGTTCGCCTTCGAGCTTGGTGGGGATATCCCTGAGAAGGGTTGACGATGGGTACTCGCTAAGATGCAGAGATTTAGGCGGGTAGCCATATTTGATCTCGACGTCGCCGGATAGAGATGTCTTTGAGCGGATCTCTGAGAGAAAGGAGGATATTGTCGTCTCTGGTGATAATGCGAGGACCTGGGAACCGTTCGGTGCGCGGATTTTGATTCGCATTTTTGCTGTTTGTGAGTAAAAAACGTTGTCGTCGCAGAAATTTAAGGGGAATGCTGTGGACTACCTTTACACGGGGTTGGTCTGGATGGTTTTGTTTTGGTTGGTTGAGTGTGCGGAGTGCGGTGTGGTGAAGTGTGTGTTGGCGTTGGGGGGTCCTTTCACTTCTATGAATGGGTGGGGTGTTCCCTGATCGCAGAACAGGTTCATACCGGAAGCAAGTGGCAGCAACGCGCGAAAGATGATGGTAGAATATCGCCGAATTGTTTCCACATTCCCTTGTGACCTCCTGTATAATGTGCACGAGCAAACTGAACATATTCAGAAGTCGTAAGCCTTTCTGCCCCCCCTGCCCAGAGATCTGTCCTCTTTTGTGATGATTAAAAGCGAGGTTTCATGCACACAGACACCCGAACACTTTTTGCCCCACCATTACCTCTCCGGCCCCAGGTGCAGACTTCGCCAAAGGGGGAGGTATGGGGTAGAGGATAAAAAATGTCGAGTCTTTATCATGCTTGGTGACCTTGCTCTGCTGCAGGGTGTACTGTACTAGTACAAACGTTGGCAATGAAGGATGCCGCTTGCTCCAGAGGCCGGGGAGAAGAAAAAAAATGCATGAATCAAAGCTTTGGGACTTTTTCAGTTTGTATTATGGATAGGCTCTGATGTCATCCCCGCGAATTCAACTCTTGTCCGTTCGGGTCGGAATATCCCATGATCTGCACCGGGATTGTTCTGCCGTACCTGCAGTTGAAATCATTGATATAATACGTATCTGGCTCAACCACTCGGTCATAAGGAGGGGGGAGGGGATGCGGCGTTTTGGTCAGTAAAGATTGTGGTGTATCATACGGTATTTACATCGCGATGGGCCGTCTTCAAGGAATAAATACTTTGTTTTCTGGTGGACCCTGAGCCAAGAGTTTGTAATTAGAACCTGCCGGTGGACTATCCCATGATAGGAACCGCAGGTTGTTAAGGGTTCGCCCTTGCTCCTCCTGTGACATCGCTTAGTAATCTAGTTTTGCCTTCACAATCTCCTGTCGGGTATCATGACAATGGTGTTCATACCGTCAGTAAGTTACTATGTAAGAATAATCTACTCGTGTAGCAACGTACAGTACTCGTACAAAAATGCACAAGGTAGGCTATCGTCATACTTTCCTGGGTTGTGCTCGGATTGTCCAGCAGTTGCAAATTGGTTGCTACACACAAGGTGCCAGAGACCAATATACTATTATCATATTATCATACCCTGACATTTTTTTGCACCAATGCCAACTCTCCGTGCCCATGAAAGATAACCTAACGCTTGAACTGCTGCCGGTTGTCCCCCCATCGTGTAGACTGGGGATTAAGCATATCGTACCTCTTTACTCAGGCAGCCCGATGGTAACGTGATCAAATTATCAATACCACTGTAAGCTAGCTTGATGTTGGATATTTCCTATTCAGCTTCACACCTGACAGTGTACATATCCTTTCCTTGCTAATACTTGTTCTTATTTGGCAAGGCTTGCATAGTTGGTTCTGTTTCCCTTCTTTACCTATTTTATACTTGCTACTTTACTGCTACCCGGCTACCTTGTTACTCCTATGCACTATGATACATTAGCAGAGGATATTTCCTCTCATGTATCGCAGACTATGATCTATGCAGTCACTGGTATTGCCAGGCACCCGCATCCCTCTCAGGATTAATGAGGTATCACTAATTTCAAAAAAAAAAAACCCCCCCTGAGGACACTATGTGATATTTAGTTAGATCAACACATCCTGGACAACAGCATTATTAAATCGTGCTTTATGAAAGCCATCAGTGGACTTCAGTGGGATTTCTGTAAGGCTTTGCTGCGTGGTACGGGGGTACCATATGATGAAACTCCTATTCGCCCGAGTAGACCTAAGTCATAGATAAGTGAGCCTAATCGGCCAGTCCCCCCAGCTTTGGGCGCGGCCGGACTGACTCGGGATATTTGGTGGACGGCCTGACAGGGCTATGGGAGAGCTGCTTTAAAGACCGAACGAAGCCCGGCCTGGCTTGGGAATCTGCCAGCCAGGCCGGGCTTCGGTCTTTACACGCGACGGCCCTACCGATCTACGGTATGACACCTCATCTATCAGGAATAGCCTCAACCCGGACAAAATATTTCCTTTGGCGTCACAATAACTTCTCGTGCTAGAGGGGGTGATGTCGTTGCGGCTTGCGCACGGTGAACGTTTGGCATCTCATCCGTTCTTCAGTAAACAAACATCGCATCGTATAGTTAGCGCTACATTGAACGACCGAGTAGGAATCTCGGGTGTTGAACTCCCTTTTGCCCCCCGTTTTATTGTCCGAATATAACCTATTGGACGCTGAACTGGGTCTGCCCGACGCAGAAGTGTATCTCACGTTGTGAATTTTGCTCAAATCCCTCGCTGCAGAATTTCCAACAAGGAATCAATGTCTCGGAATTGAGCTTCAAAGGGAGAGCAAATATATCACAGCATACTGTGTTATCGGGAAATTGTTTCCCGCTCTTCTGAATAGGTTTCCTCTTGCCACTGTTGGACGTCAGAGCGGGTCTAAGTTACATCTCTGGTACGTTTTTTCTGATAACGCATTCACTTTCCCGTTTGACCCGCTTCCTGGGGGGGCTAACAGGTTAGCAGACAATGTCAGAATGGGTGTCATACTAATAGTCACGGTAATCGCGGGATGTGGAGTGAGGGGAATCGTAAGGGGAATTATGGCTACACCGGGGAAGAGATGTCAATGTTTGATGCCACTTGTTTCTTCTGGAGAGCGAAGGGTCTTAGTTAGGTATGATAGCAGCCGGAAAAATACCAATGTATGATAAACCCCCGAGGCTCTGGGAAATCCACACCTCCAGCCCTCCCTCAATTATTCGCAACCTTCGACCATTAAATTTACTCCTCTTATGATAACTCTGTCAGCGAGCTCCCCACACCCATCGACCAATCGTCGTAAAGACAGTTTTAAAAACCCTCAGCGTTACCTAACCAGTAAGTGGTTGGTTGGCGTAATGCGCCCGGTGAGCCTCACTCAATGCAGCACTTCTGGACCATCCTTCGTAGGTTTCGTATCATACTCTTGCGCGGAGAAAGACCCAACTCAGTCACTACCGACCGCAACACTGCGGGGGGTTCTGGAAATTCCAAATTCATTCCTCCCTCCCTTCTCGAGATAGCGATTCGGGATTTCTACATCATAGCCCTTCCTCGGTCCTCCGGGGAGAAAAAAGAATAATATTTAGCTTCCGTCTAATCGATTGCTCCCCTACTACTTCGCCCTCTCGGGGTTTTGCGGGGCCACAAGTAACGGTGTTTTGGAAGCGCAAATTTTTTTCTTTTTTCTCCCTCTGGCAATTGCACCAGTCTTTTTTTTTTTTTTTTTTTTACAGAACCTCTTTGTCTCTGTTCTCTGTTCTTGTATAGCTGAATGGCGTGATATTTTTCCGGTATTGGGGTGGTATGGTAGGTGTTTTTGTTTCTTTGTTTGTCCTCTTTATTGATAATCAGTATGAGCATGTGTGAATGTTATAAATATCTAGCTTGTAAACCTTTCGCCCCATAGGCTTCTTTACCCTCTATATGGATACCTTCTTCTCATGATATTTTCGCTTTCCACTATGATACTACTGCAACTGCTGTGCCTCTTCTCACCTGCACGGGATCTGCTGTGCATCGCTGCATGTCAGCCAGGCTGCCCGGTAAGTGCAGTAATAGCTTCTGTTCAGATTGATTGGGTTGGAGCCGTCTTTCGGTTCCAGATGGAAAGCGATTCCGATGTTTATCATGAAATTAGCGGTCCGTGTCGTTTACTGTTTGGGTCGACACTCTTCATATGTGGGTTTGGATTGGGCTTTGGCGTGATTTGTGTTTTCTGGAAGCTATCCTGATTTCGACTATCATACTTTATATCGACACGAGTTTGACCCTTTCGAGAGTTTACAAATGCAAGATTGCACGATTCAGCAGGTGCAGAAACAAGTAAAAGAGATCAAAAAAAAAAAAAGAAAGAAAGAAAAACAGCTATTATTCGACAAGAAAAAAAAAATTTCAGCAAGACTTGGTATTTTTTCCGAAAAGAAAACTCCCTATGCACGCAAACAGTACCATGGACCAAGAAAATACCAGAAGACGGACAGCAATCAAAGCACATGCAAAACTACCACTCATTACCAGTAAGATTCCCCAGTTTTTTTTCTTTCCTTTTCTTCAAACAACCCATCACACCAACTACCAAAACCAGAATCCCCTCAGCTATTTCCAGAACACGCTCCATCGCCACTACCCACCGAGGGAAAAGACCCAGTAAAATGCTCAATCCCCTTAACTTCCGCCTCACCCTTATCATCCGACTCCTTAGCCCTCTGCTGGCGAACGCGTACAGCGCGATAGAGCGAGAGCTCGTAACTGACAATCTGGTAACTCGGTTCCTCCGGCCAGTCGACAGGTGCGGTGGTCCTGATCCAGGGCATCTTTTCTTCCAAGCTGCTGATCAGGTGCTCGGCAGCCTTGATCTTCTCCGCTTTGAGCGATGCGGCGTCCCTGCCCTCGTCGATGAGAGATGCGAGGGTGGCGCTACCCTCTATGTAACTTCTGGCTATACGTCTGATATGCTTGGTGAAGACCCAACCTTGGACGGTGGTGCGGATTCCGAGTTTTGACATGATTCGGCCAGTGACGCCTGGGACTGTAAGGTGGGTTGGGTTGTTAGTTAAATATTTTTCTTCTTTTCGCTTTTGAAAGGGGAGAATTTTTTTTTTTCATAGTCAGGATGAAGAAGCATGCTGCAAGTATCAATGATAAACTTGCGGGAAAAGGTAACGATGTGATTACTCTTTGGGTATGAGGTAGTAAAAGCGATTCCGAAAAAAACTCGAATAATCGGACCGTATGCTACGTTCCTCTCTCGGTAAGATTATGAGTGTAAATTTTTCCCCTCCAAACTCGGAGGTCTGAAATAAGTTGTGTTTTTACAGTATCTTTCACCCTCTTCGCAGAGAAGAGAATCACGGACTTTGTAGCATACGGTCCAATCATTTGAGTTTTTTACGGTACACTCCAAATATTACTTGAAAACAGAATATGAACTGCGACTCGTGAAAAAAGGAGAATACCCACATTGCTGCAAGACACGGCTAGTATCCCTCTCCTCTCTCTCTTCAGCGCTCTGAATAAGGACATCGGAGGGATCAAAGTTCATGTTTAGAACAGAGGCTGACTGCAGCTAAAGATATTTGTCCTTTTTGTAAGAAGTCTGTTAAACCCTTTATAGATATATGTCAATTTCTTTTTTTAGAAAAATAAAATAAAAAAAAGAGATAAGAAAAGAAAAGGGGAAAATCATACGAATGTCGAAATGGAAAACAGGATAGAAATCTTTTTCCAAAAGTACAATTTTTTTCTTCCAGAGAGGAGAAACAGTGATAAAATTTGCGCTGCGGAACAATGTATTAAAAGGACAAGACGTGCAAAACACCCGAGTAAAGAAGAATGTACTGTACCGGTTCGAGTCTTGTTCTTTTTCAGAGGTGGGGAGGTGAGTGCGTTGTGTTGTGGGTGGTGAATGTTGTTGTGTGAGGAGGAGGGAAAAGAGGTAGGTGGGAGGAAGAGAGGTTGGAAACGAAAAGTTCTCAAGACAGGCCACCCCCCCCACCCAACTCAGGGAGACGCGGCGTTTTCTGTCGAGTAAATATTATTACTATTGTTAATACTAATCAAGTGATTTTTTCTTAACTACTAATATCTTGTTGGGTGTGTCGTCTCGTTGAGGGGGTGCACTTGGTCTACACAAGAGAATAGAATTGGGACTTGAAGCTTGGTTACATTTCATTTTTCATTATGATAATTTATTGTTTTTTTATTGAGCAGCGGCTCGGGAATATAGGAAGATCCCCGAGCTGCAATAGTTCTAAACGCGGGTGCGCGGGCGGCATTTCTGTTAAGGTATAATAAAGGCATACGATATGAATTCTGTTTACCAGTCGGAGCGTATCATAACGTATCACTCGACTGATATGATGATTCTCTAGTGGCAGTTTGTTGCCGGGATGTGACCCCCCCCCGCCCCTCCCCCGGAGTCAGGTTTTCACTCCCCAGGCCGGATGTTTCGTGCGCGCTCGGACGTTATGGGATCTTTTTGCATAAAGCCGACCTGAGATATCTTATTACCGGGTATGATAATATTATGACTACGACAAAACCTACAAAGGTCGCAGTATTTCGCACGCGGAGCTTATCATAACTATCATCATAGCATCACAAACCGAAATCCGCGCAGGAGGTTAATTTTTGCGAACCGGGATTCGGGTACTGTACCCAACTTCTTAACCTTATTAATTTTCTATTCCTGTTGCATCCGATAATATCGGTACAGTTTCACGATTTGCGCAAATCCGGATATCGAAACGGAAGAGGTACGATACATAATTCGCCGGCAATGGGAGGGGGAGGCAACCCGAGGAGGGGTGTTAGTGATTCGAGCTCTGTGAGAAATTCCGAAGAGGCGGGAGGGATAGCCCGACGATCAAAACGGTCATTGTGAATCTACATTTCGGGAATGAGCCACGGTGACATAGCACTATGCTCTTGAGATCGATCTATCCGGAGCGGGAGATATTTTCCTCCATCGTCCGCCCGGATTGCCGCCTCCTGCTTGGCTCTGGGCTATTTGCTGGTTTGGTTTTGTCATTTTGGGTGTCTTGAACTGCTATGTTTGTTCTGTTTCTGTAGTTCTGGAGGAGTTGGAGCCGGGTATCTGAGATATATGCCATACCATACTTGCTTTCTTTTTCCCACTTCTCCCCTCTTCTCGAGAGGCAATAAGGCTTGGAAAAAAAATAACCGTACTTTTATTCTCCTGGAATATGGGAGTATTTGGACCGTCTTTTTCTTCTTCATTAATTCGCGACGGTTATTTATCAAGCTATCATAGGTCAACCTAGAGTGTAGATCTAATTCATAGCTATCCGTTCTCGTAGTATAGTTTTCTATGATAAAATATATTCAGTCTCTCGCTGGCCAAGTGACCCCTGATCCAATAGGAAAAGTTGGCCTCACTTATTCTGAATATCTGGTATAATAATATTATGAAATACCCCCCCCTACATGAAATAACCTCTAGTGCACGTACTGTATGTTGCATTAAAAATACAAGAGAGAAAGATCTAATTTATTTTTCTCCTACTGCTCCTCCGGACCAAATCTAGTTGCTATCTCCTGATACTGCTCTCTACTATCCTTTGATACTGAAGGCCTGATTTTTGCGGATACCTTTTCGAGATGCTCCTTTGTGACCACCACTTGGAGGTTGCTAGCATTTTTGCCTTCCTTAACTTTACCGGCTTCTGTGAAGCAGGACTGTCGAAGCGCAAGAGTTGTGGCCCGTTTCACTAATGCTGCTAGATCCGCTCCACTAACACAATATTAATATGGAAGAGGGAAGGTGCGTCAAGCAAGACTAACCTGAAATTTTTACATTTATGCTTCGCAATAGCGATTAAATCGAAGTTGGAGAGGTTGGAGAGGGGTGTATTTTTTGTGATATTTTTCAAAATTTCAACCCTCCCCTCGGCGTTTGGAAGGTCAACAAACAAAAGCGTATCCAATCTCCCTGGTCTGAGCATTGACTGATCAATCATGTCGGGTCTATTAGTGGCCGCAATAATATAGATTCCCTTGCTGCCATTGAAGCCATCCAATTCGGTGAGAAGAGTATCAACTACACGCGGCGAGCATTCTGAAAAACTGTTATCGCGAGGAGGAGCTAGAGCGTCCAACTCATCGAAAAAGATGACACATGGAATGGAAGCTCGGGCACGTGAGAAGACTTGACGGACAGCCTGTTCTGATTCCCCGACGTACTGTGCTGGTCAGTGGGTGGCTTTACGATTGTGGGGAATTGAAATCGGAATCTGGTATCACACCTTGCTAAATAATTCGGGACCCTGGATGCTGATGAAATTTGCCCCACTCTCGTTTGCAACGGCTTTTGCCAACAGGGTCTTACCACACCCTGGAGGGCCCCAAAGGAGTACCCCAGACGGTGCAGTGAGCCCTACACTAGCAAAAACTTCAGGATTCTTGATTGGCAGCACGATGGCCATCTGCAATTCAGCCTTATGTGACTTCAGGGCCCCAACATCTGCCCAGGTAACATCAGGGACTGTTGTAAAACCCTCTCTCTTGGTTGAGGGTTGAATTTCCGTAAGGGCTGTCAGAAAGTCTGGGAACGTTATATAAAGTGGATCGAGTTGCTTTCCGGTGGGTCGATGTGGATATGCATGAATGAAGCGTTGGATCGAGCTTAGAAACTCTGACTTTAGGGCAACAAGTATTAGTATTGGCACTGATAGCGGAGGGGAGTCGACTTGATCCATGTCCATGTCCGCTGAACCGCTTACCTGAGCGATGGTTGTTACCTCCAAAGGGTCGGTAGAAGCTGATGGGGTTTCAAGGGTTTCGTATATTCGTCTCATTGCTACCATGCCATCCTCTCTTGCCAAAGCACTTAGATCAACTCCAACGAACCCGGCGGTTGCTCTGGCCAATTTTTTGAAGTCAAAATCCCCTGTTAACCTCAACTTCTCGCATAGCACCCTCAATATCCTATTAGATATATGACATAATTAGTAAATCGTTACGTGCTTGGGAAATTAATATTCAAAAGTAGTCCGGGGTAGCACTTCTCTCTTTCAACTTCATCTGGCACACCAAGGTAAATTTCCTTATCAAATCTTCCACCTCTTCTCAATGCTGGATCTAGGCTGTCGGGTCGGTTTGTTGCGCCAATAATCATAACAGGTTCCCCACCAGTCTTCTCCAATGTAAGATCGTCCATGCAGGTCAACATCTGGGCAACAATTCTCTTCTCCATATCCCCCTCGGTGTTGTCCCTCTTCTGGGCTATTGCATCTATCTCGTCTATAAATATTAAGCAAGGGGCTATTTCTCGAGCGTCCTCAAAAATTTCCCGAATCATCTTTTCCGACCCTCCATACATTCTTGATACTATTGAGGGTGCAGAAATAGCGATAAACGGTAACCCAAGCTCTCTTGAAATAGCGTTTGCTAGCATATTTTTACCGCAGCCAGGGGGTCCATGGAGGAGTACACCGCGAGGGAGGTCTACTCCCATATGAAGGTAAAACTCTGGGTGGATTAGAGGCATGAACACAAACTCAAGAAGTCTCTCGATGACGTCTTCTCTGACGCCAATGTCGCTCAGGGAGATGTTATTGGGTGGCTTGTGAGAGTTGTTTTGTTTTTGACGTTTTACTGATTCTCCACCTTGGACCGGTAGATGTTCCTTTCGTTTTCTGGGTACCCGCAACCCCGTCACGGCGTTTCCGGCTACTTGCTCGTTCATCGTATCTGACTCCTAGGAGAGGCTCCAGTGTTAGTATAATTTGAACTCTGAAATGGGGTTGTAGGGCGCTTGTATCACTGCCTTTGGCCAATCTGTGATTTAAAGGAAGGAACTCAGCAATACAGCGGGAGGACTGAGATCGACGTGAATGCAGGAGACTGAAATGTGGGAAAAGAATGATAATGAATGAGAAGCGCCGCCCCCTACTGGCTAGGGACAAAGTGAGATATATATATTTCCGTGCAAATCACAACTCCAGAAACTCAACGAACTCTAAAGAAACACACCGTCCCGACGATCCTGGTCCTCTGCAATCTCATAAAATCTGGAACCACCCGAATATATCCTGACCCCTAAAGCCTATTCCCTATGCAAACTGACATATTCCGAATGACATATCATATGATATTATATTATGGTGTGAAGAAAGAAGCATGGAACCTGGTGCCCGGTGCCTGATACCTAATGGCGGCGGGCATCAACATACCCAAAGACCGCAAACCACAAAGCCACAAAATAACTCCATCCCTAACAGCAAGTCGCCTAACCATCTGTCGGCATAGCCACATGCACTATAGGCAATCTAACATGATTACAGGAATGGGGAAAGAATCTTTTGCATCATGCTGTGGCAGATCCGTCCGAGAAAAAATAGTAGCGAGCTATCTCGACCCTGAGCCAGTTTTGAAAAATTAGGGAAGCGAGGGAAGGGGAATAAACTTCATGAAGCAAATAGAAATATGTCAAGTCTTGATTGACTCGTTGCTCGACCATGGGGGGAAAACACCCTTTCTTTATATGATACCCCCTGAATTGTAAGCATTTGTACCAGTTTTCCTGGCACCGCAATCCCCCACAAAATGATGCACAATTGCGTCTCCGCGACTACAAAGACAACTGCGTTCGTCAACAGTACACAGTTGACGATGGAAACGCCGTCAATTGATCTTTTTGGCGAAGTACTAGTGTAAGGTCATGTGAAGCAGGAGGAGCGAATTTGGCTTTGTTCCTCTTCTGCTAATATCCTCATATGTGTGCAGATTTCACATCTTTTTGTCGCGGTCAATGACCTCGTTTGACCTCAGATCTTTCTGAAAGACGCTCGTAACTTTCGGACGCCTGCGACCACACCAGGGCCAACACTCCTTCCTAAATATATATGTTAAGGGGGGCTCAGAATATGCTATTATGTATTATTAAACATTGAGCGCATTATACGAGCACTTACACCCTTAACAGAAGAAAAATCATAAACATTGATCACGTATAGTTAGCGGCGAAATCCCTCGGTGTGCAGAGGTGGTTGGGGGTGGGAGGTTATGTAGAAGCTGTTTTCGAGCAAGTTAGTAATAGAGATATGAGGGAGGGGATAGGGGGGGCTTCAATGTCGCAAGAATATTCGCCAAACTCCTAACCTGCATCAGACTCCAAGCAGCCCAACCCTCCTCCTGGGTCCAAACATCACAATTTTAATCGCGTTACCAACGGCAGTCTCCCCTCCAAATACCCTCCCCAACAGCACCCCAGAGGTAGAGAGAGCGAGTTGGTGGGCAGGTTTTTGCCGTATACGTATTCGGGCGTCGACGTTCCCGTGAAATACAGAGACAACAACTGGCCCCTTATTGAAGTCTGTTGAAAATAACGGTTGAATGACTAGTTCTGATGCTACGGTGGTGTCTGTACATACTAGTATGAGGACGCGCAAGCAGTAAAAACTTCTCAAACCTGTGTTTTTCTTCCTCTCAGATTATTCTCTTCACTCCTTCATTCCCGCACACAACTCTCTTGCCTTTCTTTTAATCATCTGTTCATCTCTCAATTTATTCTGGTCCTTGTCTCTGCTCAATACAAAATTTTTACCATCTCCATCTGAGCCACTTCTTTCCACTGCGCAAAACCCTCCTATTGATCATTACCTCGGCAACAATCATCGACACTATTTCCAACAAGTCAGATGTTAGAACACCGAGTGATACTCCATGGCGAAAACTAATATTATTAAAAAAAACAGTATGATTATAATAATTATTATGATAAAGGTCTCCGATACCATCTAATCTCAACTCTCACCCCCCCACACCACCCATCCCCTCATACCACTATTTTAACATAATAATTATAATCATAAAATTATCTTGAAACCTTATTTTATTTTAACATTTGAAGCTGGTTCGGCATATATCTATCTTTTATAATTATATTTTTGAAAATAGCATATTTCCCAATACCTAAAACAAGTAAAGACATGAAATTTTTTTATATATAATTAATATATAGCAGGTATTCCTCTATGTATTCTCTCAAAAATTGGAAATATGAACAAGAATACATAATAATATTATGAAGAAATAAGGAAAATTGTAGTATTTTAAAATGTGTCATCTCTGTTCTCACTATCTTCTTGTAACAAAATTATTTCTCTTACTTTTCAATGGATAACTTAGACCATATGCTGACATTTTACTTAGATAGAACTGTTAGTTCTAAGAATTTAATATAACTATGCAAGATACTATGTGCATACCAAACTGGTCCTAAACCAAAAAAATTAGATTAAATTAACAGATAATATAATCATAACCTTATGATTATATATTAAAATAGTGGTATAGGAGGGATGAATGGTATTGGGGGAGGTATGATAAAACTTAAAAATTGGTGGTATGGAAGACCTTTACCGAAAAAAAGAATAAAAAAAAAAGGATCCCACAACACCACCAAGAGGTACCCAAGGCACCACTCCCGGACCCTCATTATAAAAAATATCACTCGCTCTATCAAAAAATTCTATCTTATCTTATGCTAGATTAAGTGCGTCTTAGGAATATGATTCCATTGGCGCAGTTTTTTTTTTTTTCACTGTATCATATCATAAAATAGAATTGAATGGTTCCGTAATTCCTCGACCTCATAGTATTGAATACTCCAAGGTCTTCGCACTACCTGACGGCGATATCGGGTTAGCTTCCCTCACTGTGCAAACTCTGTCCCTATCGCTGATGGGTACCGAGGCCCCGTATACTGTCCCTATTCACTCAAGCAAATACGGTTTATAGACACTTTTCGTACTCTACATAACGCTACTGCCGCCAAGTTCTAGTACACCCACTCATCAAACACTCATTGCTAACTAGCAAACTACCCGGTAATAATCTAGCACACAACAGAAGAAAAATAAACAAAAGAGATAAAAACACGGTGGCTTAGCCCCCCCTCCCTTTCTCCCTTCCTCCAACCTCAATCCGGGCTTTAGTTTTCCATCGCCCGGACGAAAAACCAAATACTTGGGAGGGTTACTACTTCCGCGAGCACTGTTCCGGGTGCGGTACTCCAAAGGGACTCAGCGCATCAATTGTCTTGCACCACACCTCTAGCCGATCAGGCTCTACTTCGCCAGCTTCCAGGCATTCTTCGACATAGGCGCGGAAGCCGCCGTAGCCGTCTTCGGAGAGTTTCTTGTGTACTTCCTCGTCGCAATGCTCACGCAGGTACCACCCCGCGGCGCCGAATGTGTACCTTAATTTCATCAACACCAATATTAAGGAATACGAAGGGAAGAATTACTCACTGATCTGGGAGAACAAGAGCTCGAACAGCTTCCTGAGTATCTCCAGGTATCTTATCGATTGCCCCAGGGTTAAGGTAGAGCCTGGACCCACCCCGGAGGTTCAAGAGCTGCTCTCGAAGTTCGGGTTGGTCCCAGGCATAGTCATATATGTAATTGAATAGCAACATCGCCTTCGCTACAATCCCCCCAATCCCAAATATCAGCAATCCACTCCTGACTTCTCCCCATCGGATCATCAAGGATGCTTACTCCCTTGCCCCCTCCTTCCAGGCACATGGTTAATATTCGCCTTAAACCCCGCACTCTCGTAGAGCATTGTAGCGAGCAACGCCGCCTTCTGACCTAGAGTGGTAAAATTGTACCTGAGGAAGCTGTCGTTGATGTACCTCGTCGAGGTCCCCGCGCTCGTGCACTCCTCCTTCTGGTAGATCTCGCTCTCCGATGCGTCCCAGCAGGACACGGAGGGCGGGAAGGAGAAGATTATCCGCGCCTCCGTTATGGGTCCGATGAGGACCGTCGTATCGAACCTCTTTGTCCACGAGGGGGAGTCCCACATCGCTGGCTTCCAGGCGCCCGGGTTGAAATGGTGGGCCGAGGTTAGGGAGAGGGGGGGGAGCAGGGGGAGGAGGGAGAGGAAGGCGAGGACAGTTTGGAGCATTTTGGTTTTCTGTTTTGCTTTAGATGTTCTGCGTGGTTTGTAACTAAATAGATATATAGTCGATAGTAAAACATTTGCAAACCTCCACGAGCCAGCACGCTGTTGCTCGAGTGCGATATCCTTTCCAGCGAACAGGAAAGTGGTCTAGCCTTCAATAGTACTAGAAAAGAGGTGGCAGTGGCGGAGGAGGTCCTTTAGGAGGAGGTGGAGTAGCTCCCCAGTCCCTATATATATCCCTCCCATTAGTTTGCTTACATCTGGGGTGCTCATTCACGCACGCATCGCACGAGTCTAGGAGTGAGATTCACCCGGATACTAGGGTTGTTTATTATTGGAGAGGGTCTAGTTTTCATAGCTAAATTTTTAGTCCCCGGATCGGGAAGGGCTTGAAGGTTGTGCTTATATCACGACTATCATACCGATTCTGTGCCGACTTCTACTGTAGATTAGACTGGCAACTTGGTTGCTTGGCGGGATACTGATACCGCTTGTTACCGGATACAGTACTAGTACTAGTGCTCGCACAGGCCTTGCATTTAGCAGGGATCAATTATTGCGATATCTGGAATAGGTCTGGTGGTACTAGTACTACTAGCTACGCTCAATAGGCAACACACCGTAACAACTGGAATAGAGTAGTTTCACCTCAGGACGTCGGAGTTCCCTCTCCTACCGATAGTAAGGTCGGTCGTAGACTATATCTGTCTCAACCGAGTGCTGAAAGAAAGTTTTTCCCTCTGACTCTTCCTCCCCCAACCCAAGGGAGGAACTTCTGGACGTCTCATAGTAGCGTGATTTTCCAATTATTCCACTTTTATTTTTATTTTTTACGGCATTACGCCGGTAACCCAAGTCCCACTTAACTTAGTACAAGCACCGCTTACTCGAGTGCTGTACAGTACTCGCTGGCCTTTGCCAGGAATACCTCAGTGAGGCTAATATTTGGTGAGGACTCCAGCAACATATCGGCTGGCAAAGGTATTCTTGGCAAAGACGAGTGAGTATAGTACTATCAACACTCCAGACCCCGCAACGCCCCCAGCTACCCCAATACCCTTCTTACCGGAATACTATGCAAGCCATTTCCATATCCCACCTTTGACAACTCCATCCCGGAGGAAGAGACTCCGGTTTCACAACCCGGTCCCGGCCCACTCAGCAAAACAAAACCATAACCTCACCGGTCCCAGGTGAGGAGAGGAAGGGGGGTGGATGAATGCACTAACATGAGCATGTTTCGGTTATCCATAACGCAAATGATGTCGGTGTAAAGGATCCAGAGTGGTGAAGGAAAGGTTGAGGGAATATACTGTAGGTCAGGGGTAGGCCTACCGATGGGAAATCACGAGTATGATAATATTGTGATAATTTTGGGGGTATCATACGTCTAGTGACCAGAGCGAGCCGAGGCAGGAACCGACAATCTACAAGTAACAAGGACTAAGTTATGTATGATACTACGGTGCCGGGAGAATGAGTCTATAAGTCAGAGTAATTAGGGTATCCCATAGGCCCTTCTTCTTCGTTCTGGTACGTAGTGATGTTATGGTATATATCGGTACGTTGATTAGTTTAGTGATCCGTGTCAATGTTAGACTAACTACACTACCGTATTCGGACACACTACCCACCACTGCGAAGCATTGCCTGAGAGCGACGATAGCACAAATGTTCAAGATGTATGATACCCTACACCCATACTTTACACAGTGTAAAGTGACAAGATTTCATCAATAGCTTTGACGATGACTTTGGGTTTTTTTTTTACATTCGGCCCAATTGGCAGTTAGACCACAGCCGCAAAAAATCCTCCCCCCGTATATCCCTCGTCCGAAGCTCAAACATCGGATGCCCCAAATGTCAGGATGCCTGAAAGGTAAAACCAGTGCAGTTTAATCGGATGCGCTATCGAGCCACATACACTACACTACCGGAGCTCGCTAGAATATTACCCTAGAGACAAGGGTCGAAAGTATAGTCATGGATTACGAGTGAAGATTTATGAAGTGGGTAGGTTGAACGAGAGTAGAGAAGCTTGAGATTCATTGCATAGGATTCATAACACATCGCCTTCCATCCACCACTACGGTATCGCAGCCACCGCAACCAAACACCGCAAGTATCACTCATAGGACCGACCGCAAACAACGCGAATGCTTGCTTCTGAAATTTTAGACATTACCTCCTTCTTGTCTGCCCATATCCAGTACTTGAATGCCTCATGGCTCCAGCACTGCTACTCTCCCCTCCACCACCACCGCCGCCCCAGCTTGGGCCTCCGTAACCGCCCGACGGCCCACCACTCGACTGGAACCACTGCGGTGCTGTCTGCGTCTGATTCGCCCTCTCTCTGTTCCCCATCAAGTAGGACCCCGCGGCGCCAGCCGCGAGTCCCGACCAGAACCCTGGACGCCATTGCTGTGATGAGGATGACGGGAATGCCGGTTTCGGGGGCGGGCGGGGGTCATACGGGGGTGGGGGATCACCTCCTCCGCCGCCAAACCATCCGCCACCGCCACCAGGTCGCCGTGGCTCCCTGGCTCTCGGTATTGAATTGTTGCGGTTTTTATACACGGAGTACAGGATCCATCCGACGATTCCGAAGAAGAATGTCCAGAAGAGGAAAGTTTCTGCCTCTGCCCGTGCATTGGATGTTTGCTTAGTTGATTGATAGAAAAAGAGGAGAGGGGGGAGGGAAGGATACCTATGCCCTTCGACGGTAATCGTTTGAATACCGACCCACCGTATCCGAACTTTTCGTATCCGTAATCTGTGAGTGCCAGCCGGTACTCTACTCCACAGGAACCTGTGCCGCTTGGTGGTCAGCTCCGGCGAGGGGAGGAGGGGGCGGGGGTAAAGGTATGGAAAGTGAATGGGTAGGTACCTTTGAGGACGTATTGGTCGTCCGCGCTATCATAGCTATATCATGATTAAGTTAAGTATAGTGTCTATGATGAAATCATGTACTGGATACGGGAACATACCCCTCGCATATAACGTCGGTAGAGCCAAGTTTGAACTCTCGCGGTAGATCAGCAGTGCATGACCAGCTCACGTACTCGTCATTGTAATCACTATCCGAAAGTCAATAACCAAAGTGAACCGAATGATCGAGAGGGACCTCAACCCACCTTCCAATATTCTTGCACCTCATAACGTCAACTTCATATTTTCCCTTACCCTCACCACCCACGCATTTTAACTATTCGTGGACACTTTAGCAAGCTCACCAATGAGGATTCCCACAGCTTCCTTACCTGCGGAACTGCTGGGACTCTCCGATTCTTTGTCATCTGGTCGCTTCGCAGCGTTAAGGCGGGAACCTCGGAGAGGAGTATTTTTTGACCGGATTTTAGCTTTGCTGCTGCCGCCGAGGTGGCTAGCAGAAAAATGGTAACGGTGGGGAGCTTCATTTGGGATCTTGGGTTTGTTTGGGAGACGTGTTGGAAACAAGGTGGGATATTGGTGGGTTGGGTTATTATCACGAGCATGAGGCTCAAAGGACACCGTGGCTTATAAGCGCCACATTTTATGACCTGATAAAGTTACCGGCGGTAACGCGATGGTGGGCTGGGAAGATTCAACACATGGAAGGGTTCCACAAATCACGACACGGCTCACAAGCACTGCCCGAATGCAATTTTAGAATGGATTCAATTCGGGAGCGACAGTTTAACTGAAAAATAAAACAAAACAGAAAAGCCTTGAGATCAATAACAAAGGTGAGTTCCACCCCATTTCCAACAATTTCGGTCTCCTAAACATCGAGGGTCAACCATCAGTAAAAGGTCTAAATCGCAGGCGTAGAAGAAGAGCCTCGCAGCTAGTACCTTAGGTTCCCAAGGCTCAATAGACGTTTACCACATTTCCGTAGAAAATCGCGCATATTCCACCAACACCTCCGAAGCAGTTCCGTCGTAATTCTGGAGGTGAGACTGCTGGCGGGACTCCCTCAGACCTGTGTCTGGAGATCCGTCCTCGCGTTGTTTTGCGAGGCAACAAAACCATCATTCTGCGTATCAGTTAGCGCAAATAACTCCAAATCACAGTTAGAAAGTTACCATCGTAGTATTCATCCTCATCCTCGAGTTCATGTAATTGCTCAAAGTTAACCTTGTACCTGAGCAAAGCGCCGATTCCGCCAAATCCCTTTACAAATTGATTGCCTTCGCCGGAGCGATCGGAGACAAACTCCAAGGTAGCACCAAAGTCGTGATATTTTTCAGCCAGCCACTCAAGGAAGGAGGTTTGCTCAACAATCTCCATTTCTTGCCTAGAAGACTTATCCATGAATTTTTGGCGATCCTGCTCTTGAATTTTATTGGTGTGGAGAGTAATAAGGTTACCGTCGGAGCTCTTGAGAATCCAGCGAGTCACATCAAGGTTTTCAAAGACGATAACAGCTATACCCCATGTTAGCAATTCCTTTATCGGCCGGTATGGTGATAAATACTCTCTGCGGCACCCAATTCCATGGCCCTCAGTGTATCATCGATGCCATAGCAAACCTTTCCAGTATCCTGAGCTAGCTCCCCAAAGTACTTGCTGATCAGCTTCTTTTCTTGGACAAACTTCACGTTGCCCAAAGTCTCTTCGGCCAACTCGATAGCCTGAATAAAGCCAAGATCGCCACCGTAGGACACATCGACAATCTTGATAATCTTTGCTTGCAAGCGTGGATCAAAGAGTTCACTCTGGGCAAGGTCGGTCTTGAAGTCGGCAGCTCCAGCAAGGATTAGACCTGAAACGTTGACCTTGTCATTGGTAATAAAGTTTTGCACGGCCGACTCCGCTACCTTGCGGACGTAATTGTGGCGTTTTTCGTCTCTGAGTCGTGAGAAACGCAATGCGGACTGCCCACCACGACCATGCTTCTTGGGAAGGGCAACAGAGAACCCGTGAACGACTTCTCTAGTGTTTCCACTCAAAGTTCCAAACAAAGCACCTTTACCGTCCATCACGATAAAGCCAAACTTAGAGTCAGACTCCAAAAGCTCCGATAGTGCCTCAGTGTGGAATTTGTTATCGCAGAGGTACAAAGAGGTGTTGATTGGCTTGAAGGGCTCAAAGGCAATATTGATTTTACGCTCTTTGCCTTCGTTGGTGATGATTTCGCCACAGTAGAGGACGAGCCCGTTGGGGGGAACCTTGTGGTAGAGCTTGAGACGTTGCTGAGTAGAAGTGATAGCTGAAAGAACCGATAAACGATTGACACGGGATTTGATGTTGGATGCGGTGCCGTACTCATCAGACAACATCTTGCCGACGCGGGAGACCTGATCCTTTGGCGGAATGATTAGGGAAATCATACTGGTTCCGTTACCGCGTGCTTCAGTAAGACTTTTGATCAATTTTTTGATCTAATTCCCAGAAGCTACGTGTCAGCGGGTAAAAATCTGTTGGGTGCAACGATCTTATAGTAGTACCTTCCAGATCTCGATGTTTTTCTCCATGTCGTTTGCTTGGGGCAGAGACATGATGACGATAGGTTGGTTTTTATTTTTATTTTTCTCGCCGTTACCCTGCTCTTAGGTGTTCGTTGGATTAACAAGTGTTTGGGAAACAAAGAGTAGAAGTGAAAAGAGGTGGAGTGCGGGAGGGTGTGGGGGGGTTCAGCAGATGAGGTGTAGGCGCTGAGAACATTGGGTATGGTGTGGCTTGGCGGTCACGGAAGTTAGCCTGGGGGAGTTTAGCTTTCGCCATATAATAATGCTAGTCACGGGTATTTTTTTGGGTACCTGGATCGATTTATCATACCCGTGGGAACGATAAGTACCCGCTGTCTTCAAAAGTATCTGGATGCCTTGGCGCCAAGATTTAGACATTCAAGTGTATCATACAAGACCAGGACTCACTCGAGTACAGTACCAGCTGCGTTCACCTTAAGGCAGCGTAAGAACTGAAGCCAATCAAGAGTTTAGAATATGGTGCTAGTTAACGGTAAGAGCGTTTCTACCGGTATGAGCCTATATCTTCCAAAATATGTGGTTGAAAAGGTTCGAAAATCATTCTTGTGTTGGTTTTTGGTTGATCTCCTGTGCCAGGTAACGTTTATGGAAGATGGTTTGTGGTTCCATCTCACAGCCATTGCAATGTGGGTCCCAATAACTGGTTTGACCAATCGGTTTGCTCATTAGGGTAACTTTTAGTTGATTGATCACATTTGTTGTATTCTGCCAGCCTGGAACTAGGGAAGTATCATGAAGTTCCGGCACTCCTGATAGAGCTCTACGGGGGTATCCATACAGCGCCTAAGTTTTGTATGTTACACTGACCGTGGGCGTTGTGTGAGCCTCAAGTGTTGGCATACAAAACTTAGGCGCTGTACACTACCCCCGTATGGTATGGGAAGATGTGATCTTTTTTTTTGTTGGCTATTTTTTAACTTTAATGGAATAGGTTTAGCCGCCGAAATATCAATTTATCTCTGCTGGACCTATGCTTTTGGGTATGAAAGGGCATAGTTCTGAAACCTGTACTAGTATTTTTGTGTTCTTCGAGTAACCTAAGGAGAAAATTCAACTATCATGTTTGAAGTCGGCTACTTTTGGTGTAGTACACTTATGATACAGGCGGTTTCTGTTGCTAGCCTCGTGCAGGTATCTCTTTTAGAAACCATTCATCTACGCTTACTGGTGCTTTATCGTTACCGGTAGTACAGTAGGGGCTGCTAAAGCATTAATACCCCCCCCCCCCCACTTATTGGGAAGAATCGTACCGATAGTAGGAGAGGAGGAATGGTGATGTGAGGACCTAACCACATCTTGAACTAGGTGACTGGGAGAGTATGGTCCAATCTCACAGCATGAAATACTGCAAAGTTACTAGCTAAGACTGTTAGGAGTACCAGGATCTGATACCTAGAAACCACCCTAAGTAGGATAACCCCATTCAGAATTGGAATCTCTGGTCTCCAACACCCTCCTCTGGCTCCCTTACAAAGCCCGCAAGTCATCATA